AAAAAAAAAAAAAAAAAAAAAAAAAGCTGTAAGTAACAACAAAGATTTGTATTCCATAGACCAAAAACTATAGGAGAAAATTCATTATAATTTCAGCCATATTTATAATTGAATCAATTACATGAAGATAAAGTGATTTTATGTGAAATTTGAAGTCATTTACATGTCAAGATTTGAGTAGTTGGGCCAAAATTTTATCACTCTACAGATGTTTTCTTGCTGCCAAGACTAAACTATAAAGGAAAAGAAATGTGAGGACATCGCCACACAGAGAAAAGTTAATTTGGCTCAGTTGATCTTAATAGAAACATACATTCTTTGTGCTTCTTAAATAACATAAAGTGAGAATCTGAAATGTGTTTTACTGAAGGACAAGTTTTATACAAGTTTTGTGAATTTTTCCTGATGATTAAGAATATCTTTAAAAAGAAACAAAAATCTACTTTGTATATACATCAGTCGGAAGAATGAACACATAGTTTTTGGAAGAAGCTCTGAGAGATAATAAAAGATCTCCTAAATTTGCCCTTTGGAGGTTTGCCTCCTGATCTTAAGAGTTTCTTTCTCATGATTATAACATCCTTCCCCTCTTTAGTTTCTATGCTGCCAGGCTTACGTAGGGAAGTAACAGAAGTTGAGGTTTTCTTTAAAGTTGTGGACTTTGAACTATGAGTTACAAAGAGCTATAGAGATTTTTAATGTTTTTATATGATGAAAGTAGTGTTTGGGGATAATTAACTTCATGGCAGTATTCAGGACAGAATAGAAAAAAGAGAGAGAGAGAGAGGAGATAAATAAATTATATGCTGATTGAGAGTGTGCACTAGGCAGTGAAGAGGACCTGATATAAATCTCTCCTCAGGGGAATCAGAAAGCGCAGGGCAAGAGGGGTTTTCCAGAAAGAACTGGCCAGACTTAGAGCAGATTTCACTGGTTTAGGAAAGAAGGAGCTCAATGACTTTAGGTCTCAGAGCTTTGAGGTAGACTCTAAGTATTGCAAAAGAGAATTGTGTGAGTCAATGATGAAAAGGCTTGGAAAGTACTACTGTTTCATTTTATTGAGAAAAAAATGAAGGGAATAGAAAGAGAATAAGAGCAGTAACTCAAAAATAAAGACAGGAAGTGAAGAAAAAGAGTCTTTCCCAGACCAAGAGTCTGGCAAGAATGTGACTAAAGGAGGAAAGGGAAGAGACCCCTGTAGTTATTAACCCTTCTTCCCACAGGGGAATAGTCTCAGGCTCTTGGGAAAGAAGTAGCATCCCCTTTACAACAAAATGACTCCAGATTGCTAGCAGGAGCATTTTCTGAAATGCTGTGACTGCGCCTGAGAAAGGAAGACAGACTTCACAAACCGGAAGCTTACACTTCTATGGTTTGGATGACATGGGACAATAAAGTCCTTGGGGTAGCTCTGACTCATCGTAGACACTCATTAATATGTGTTAGTAAATCACATGGGTGGAGATGGTAAGCTCCTTCAGGGCACAGACTGGATTTTACTCATTTTTGTATCTCTTGGGTCTAACGCAGGACCTGCACAGTGGATGTTTAGTGGTTTGAATCAGTAAGGAATGAATGAGTGGTGAAAAGAAAATAACATGAGGTTTAGATTTTTTCAGAATTCATTCAATAAATATTCAGCAGAAATTTACTGAGTACTAACTATGAGCAAAATACTGAGATAGGCATTGAATAGAGCAGATAAAAGACTAATTAGACATAGTCTTTGCCCTCAAGTTACTCACAATCTAATAGGCAATACAAATATATTGTAGCTAATCTAATACAAGGGAAAATGTAATGATGGCAGTGATGAAAGAAGTATAGATAAAGTGCTTTTGGAGTAATAAGGAAGGATGCAGTTGTTACTGGGAAAGAATCTGAAAGAATAATCAGTCATACTAAATTTTAGAGGCAGGCCTCCTTTAGAGGAGTTTACCCTTTTTTTTTCTTTGTGTGTATGTGTGTGTGTGTGTGTGTGTGTTTAGTTTCCCTTTCATTCCTTTTGGATAAACCTCATCTCTATGTGTTTTTGTCCCCAAAAGTCTTTCTCTCTGGATCATAACTCATGAGAAATCAAGGTTCATGACAGGCATGTCAGCTAAAAATAGCAGAAGCCAAATGCAGATGATTGTATGTATTTTCTTCTCGTTAATGAATGGAATCACCTTTCCTGCCCTATAGGCCTTTGATTCTAGAGTCTTAGATGTTCAGTCACCACCCACAGTCAAGGAAGAGAAATCAGCCACAGATCTGGCAGCAAAACTCTTACTTCTTGATGAACTTGTGTCTCTGGAGAATGATGTGATTGAAACAAAGAAGAAAAGAAGCTTCTCTGGTTTTGGTTCTCCCCTGGACAGACTCTCAGCTGGCTCTGTAGATCATAAAGGTAAACAGAGGTAAGTGAACTCTTAGAGAAGGAACATTTTCATTTTCTAATTCTTCCACTCTGGGTTCAGAAACAGAGAAGTCCACATTAAAAAAATACAATGAAAACCTTGTAGGTAAACAGATTTAAAATTGTCTTAGCTAATTTCTGAGTTTAATGGCATCATCTTAGAAATAACGTTTAGGGAGCAAAATAACTGCTATGGTATGCACAAATATTTTTGTCAAAATGTTTTCTGAAGAAGATTCTGTTGCATGTAAATATAAAGTAGTTCTTACAAGACATAACAGCATTTGGGAAGCAAGGGGAAACGTGTGTCCTATGAGATAAATGTTCTGGTCAGTTGCATTTTCTAGTTAATAAAGGTAACCACAATACCATTTTATTTTTACCCTTGTTACACAGCATTCCAAATGATGTGAATAAGTCCCCTTTCCTATACCAAGAAGGCAGTGAAGAGCTCTCAGGACCTGGAGTCAGGACACATATGTTTAAATCAAATTTCTAAGCATTTCTAGCCATGTGACTTGTATAAGAATCTTATTCTCTGTGATCTTCAGCTTATTTATCTGGAAAATGGGGATAATTACTTACCTCTATAAAAATCAAATGAGTACTTTGTAAACTGTTAACTATTATAACAGAATTAGAATAATTAAATCTCTCTTTAATCATTGAATAAGTGTCAGTACTTTAAAGCAGTCATTCCAAACTTAATTCATTTTCTACCCCCTCAGTATCTGTTCCTCATGCAGTACATTTCACAGCAGCAGTGACACAAAAGATCACCCAATTCCCCAAAGTCTGGAATTTGGGGAATTTACTAGGATCCCTTTTGCTCACCAGGATTCCATTTGCTTAAATGAAACGTTCCATTATTCACTAAATTCTCTAAATCCTACTTGTTTTATATGTTTAATATCTCCAGAATATCCTTTTACATTAAGGCTTTCCTAATTCTGGCCTAAATCATCTTTTTGACATGTTTTCTTTCTCCAGTCTTTCCCCATCTCCAGTCTTTCCCCATCTCCACTTCCACCACCATCCTCACCCCTTTATTGGTGAATGCATCCTTTACTCTGCTACCAGGGGAATCATCTAACACAAAAATCTTTTCCTGAGGGCTTCCCTGGTGGTGCAGTGGTTGAGAGTCCGCCTGCTGATGCAGGGGACACGGGTTCCGGGAAGATCCCACATGCCGCGGAGCGCTGGGCCCGTGAGCCATGGCCGCCGAGCCTGCGCGTCCAGAGCCTGTGCTCCACAACGGAAGAAGCCACCAGCAGTGAGAGGCCCGCGTACCGCAAAAAAATCTTTCCATGAAAAGTTCCCATTGCTTACAAGATAAAAACAAACTCCTTAAGGAAATCTATGAAAATTTTCATAATCTGGCACCTCTTTTCTTCCTGCACTCATTTCCACATCCTTTAGTCCAGTTTCACTTGGTTACTTGGAGTTCTAGGACACATCACATTTGTTCCTGGTCCGTGACTTTGCTTTTGCTCGATGATTCTCATCAATACAGGATGCAATTTGCTAGACTTCTGAAAGATTCTCAGAGTTACACAAGTAAATAAAATCATCACTTTGGGACTATAATTTATCCAACATGTACTTGAAAAAAATACCACACATGTGTTTTGAAATTCAGATCGTATTCTAATTAAACAAATGTAAGTTAGTTCCACTTATGTTCTAGGCACTGTGTTGGGCTACGGTGGAAAAAAGAAGGAAAATACAGTCTTTGTCCCTCAAAGAGATCACATACCAGTAAGAAACATAGAAATATTTATAACAAATTATAACACAAAGCAAGAAGAGAGGCAATTTTTAAAGAAGGTTATAGAAAGCCAAAGGTTAAGTGGAGAAAATATTGTGCCTTCTAATAAATAGTATTTCTTAGATTCCTGGATCTTGCAGTACAGTCTACAAAATAATTTGAAAGTCAACATGTAAACATTTATGTAAATATTTATATATGAATTTATGATAGCATATACACCAAATATTTATTACATAAATCTTATAAATATATATAATCTACATTGAGATTCCATCATAACAATTTCTTTAGGAAGTGTCATAAAGAGATACTATATTAGGAGATATAATCTATCTAACATAGCTTGGCTTGTAAGAAAAGGAAATTGGCAAGCACTTATTCATTTGAACAGATTTTCACATATAAAGGCTAAAAATAAACTATTATAAGTGTGTAAAAAATTAGGGAATATTGTTCTCATGAGTACTTCTCGAGGAAGCTACTGGATGAAATTCTTCAAACAATCAAAATGATTGGAGAGGTAACATCATAAGAATTGGTGTGAACATAACTTTAGACTTGAAGTGTGATGATGGTTACAAAAAAAAAAAAAGAGTGCCATGCGTTATAGTTATGCAGTCTGACAATATAGAAACAGCAAAGTATCAAGCAATTCAGGGACAGTAGGGGGAGCATATGAAATTTAGAATGAGTTTTTGATTACTTCACGGCTATTAACTGAGCATAAGAGGATATTACAACAAATAGTTGCTTGCAGACCTGGAGAAGAAGGAAAACGTGGAATTTTCTCTTTATAGAAATTGTACAGCTAAAGCAATGAAGAAACAATAGAATTAGTAGATGTAGAAATTCTCCTTTATAAAATTATTCCAGCTAATAAATGAAGAAGGAGTGGTAGTATTAGAACGTCTCTATTTTGCAAAACCTAATGAAATGATGGCTCTAGGCAGTGATTGTCAGTTTCTGCTAGCATCACAAAAGGAAAAACAGTGAGTCATTATATGCTCCCTGGTGGAAGAACTCAACACTACCTATGTAACAGAATTGAAAAAAAAAATTTTTTTTCTTGCCTCTAGTTCTACCTGCCAATTTCCAGGAAATATAGAAGACAAAGAAATGACTTCAGAAACATTATAGGGAAGCAAACAGCAATTCAGACTGTAGAAAACAGCAGAATAAATAACCTAGTTTCTTCAATAAATAATTTACAAAGATTTGAAGAAAAACAAGAGATGGAGGAGGGAAGGGATCCAAAAGATCAAAGTAGATTTAAGGGACTTATTAACTAGTCACAATTTTGGGGGGTTCTAATTCAAGCAATTGTCTGTTTAAAAATTAACATGTGTAAGAGACAATTGTGAATGTGCACTGTGGCTACTTAATGATTTTAAGTAATTATTGTCTCTTTTTTATTTTTTTTGGCTGTGTTGGGTGTTTGTTGCTGCGCGCGGCTTTCTCTAGTTGCGGCGAGCGGGGGCTGCTCTCGTTGCGGTACTCGGGCTTCTCATTGCGGTGGCTTCTCTTGTTGCGGAGCTTGGGCCCTCGGCACGTGGGCTTCAGTGGTTGCAACACGTGGGCTCAGTAGTTGTGGCTTTCAGGCTCTAGAGCACAGGCTCAGTAGTTGTGGCGCACGGGCTTAGTTGCTCCGCGGCATGTGAGATCTTCCCCCACCAGCGCTCGAACCCGTGTCCCCTGCATTGGCAGGCAGATTCTTAACCACTGCGCCACCAGGGAAGCCCTACTGTCTCTTTTAAATATGAAAATGGTAGTGTGGTTACATTAAAAATTAGATTTATTGTTATTTAAATATTTAGTTGTAAGTATTTGTCTGGGATTTGCTTCAAAATAATACAGGAGTGGGAATGGAATAAATGAAACAAGACCTACCATAATCAGTAATTGTTGACTTAGAATGATGCATACATGGGAGTCTATTATACTATTCTATTTTCACCTGTGTTTGAAATGTTTCATAACAAATTAAAGAAATGAAATGAAACAATAAGATAAACAAGAGATTAGACCTGGCAGAAGAGTAAATACATTCACCAAATGATAACGCTAAGAAAATGACTCAGAATATATCACAAAGGTATGCAGAACACAATGAGAAATTATAACATACAATTTAATCTAATTAGAGTTTAATGGTGTTAAGTAGAAGAGAATCACTATTTAAAGAAATTATGGGTATTTTTTCAATAATTTTCCAAAAATAGTGAAAAAAGATGATTTGCTGAATTCTGTAAAAACAGCAAATTTTGACCCAAATAACTACTACTATTTTTGAAAAGTTAATTGGATTAAGAAAAATTATTCTGTTAAAAGGAAGTCAGGTAAGAGATGGCTTAAAAGCATGAACATTCAGGGCATGTTCTTGGGATGACTAAATAGCATGGTGTAGGTTCAGTATCAACCTACAACCTAAGAAGCAGGGTTAAAAATAAAATTGGGAAGGAGAGTTAGGACCAAACAGGGATGCTGTATTCAGCAATCATTCATATTGTTACCCTCTGGACTGTGCAGTACAAAACCTCTATAATCTTAGTGTCTCTGGAACCAGATTGTGATGGTCCCATTGAGTGTTGTATAAAGAAAAGATATTAGTAATTAATGATCTTCAGAGGTCAAAACTGGTCAATTTTCTTTTGCCTTTTTCTCTACCTTTCCCTTCACCTCCAGCTACTTCCAGAAGGTTGGAAGTGTTAAGGACAGCTAATGCCTTTGCACAGAAGTTTACGCATGAGCTTGAAAAATTGAGGATTTCCCCTAATCAAGACTCTATATTTTGTTTCATGACTACAGTTAGAATACAGAAACTCTGCTCCTTTGTACTCTATGGCTTAACAACAAAGGTGACCTCCTATATCAGGATTGTTTTATTTAGAATGACATATACAAATTAATAGTTTTTTTTTTACATATAATTTATGTCTTTTATACTTTTATTTTTGATAGTGGATGTTTTACCCCTTTGAATTAGATTCCAAGGACACTTCTTGTGAGATTTTCCTTCAGGATTCATTTTTTATTCAGGAATTCCTGTTCTTGGTCTTAAAGCAAACATTAAATTTGTCTATTAGAGATTTGGAAAACAATGGGAGATAAGTAATAGATATTGCATAATATATTTCTATACACATTCTTGAGTTTTAATTGAAAAATAATTTTAGATTTCTTTCGAAGTATAATGCTAACTCAAAAAACATTAAATGTTAAATTTTTCTATC